AGGCAAACCGGGAATGCCAAGAGTGTCCCAAAAAAGCAGGGCACGCTCCCTGCCTGCACACCTTCCAGCCAAAGCTAGGTCTGGTTTTTCAGCAGCTGACCATGCTTTGCTTGCTGCTACAGAAAAAGGCTGAGGGATGACGAGGCTGTGATGAAGATGTAGGGCTGGCAGGTTCTGAGGTGCTCCATGCATGGCAGTGTGCACACATTGCACACAGAGTTGGGTTTTCCAGAAGCTCAACAACATGCCCAGGGCCACTGTGGATGTGGCAAGTTGTCCTGACCTGAGGATCAGCCTGCTCAGTGGGCAGAAATCTTGGCCACGTGTAGCACGTCTTCAGAATCAGCCCTGGCAAAACTTGCAGGTGGGGAAAGTGGGAAGGTACAGAAAAAGCCAACTGTGGTTCTTCCTCCAGCAGGGAAGGTCCTACCTGTTTTAGAGCAATTTGCAAAAGGGCTTAGAGATCAGCCAACCACAAACTCCCAGGGTGAGGTTATTATGGAGGCAAATGTAGATGCAACTGCAAACGGTCTTGCCTGAAGAGCTCAGGGAGGTTGTGGAATCTCCTTCCTTGGAGTTACCCCAAACTTGGCTGGACAAGGCACAGAGTGAACTCATCTGTCTTTGGAGCTGGCCTTGCTTAAAGCAAAGATTCAGCTGCTTCAGAGATCCCTCCCCACTGTATCCTGCCCTGATTTCCCAGAGCAGTGCTCTCTCTTGGCTGAGCAGGGATGGGATGGGGCAGGAGGGTCCTTGCTCATGTTCCTATCGACCCAAACATGGGGGAACCCTTCCAGTACCAAAAGGCTTTTGCATGTGGCCAACAGAGACAGGATATAGACCTAGCAGGTCAAAGATGAGCAGAAGCAGACAAAGGGCATTGGACATTTGCACCAGCTCTCTCTGTCAGGTGTCTGCCTGGGAGGGAATCACTGCACCCAGGCACAAACACTGGCAGGAACAAGAATTTCAGATGCAGATTTCCCTTAGGAAACAGCAGGGCTGGCCTGGGGGAGGGTGGGAAGTGGCAGAAACCCATTTTGGGGTGAGCATCAGCAGAGGCAGTGGTGGAACAGGATGGGTTCCTTTCCTCTGTTGGAATCTGAAACCTTTTTTTCCCTGCATTTTCTTTCCAAAGAAAATCGTTGCATCATTTTTGCCCCATAAAATTTTATCAGTGACTACCATAACTGGATGAAATGGATGAAACTGGGAGGAGGCACACTCTCAAGGTGACTTTTGCTGATAACTTCATTTTTGCTTTTCTTTCCCAACTCTCCATGCACCTGTAGACCCCAAGGGACGTGGTGGGGTCAGGGGCAGGACCTGCCCCAGGACTCTGCTGCTTCTCCAGGTTGCTTTGTATGGGTATTGGGCAAGCTGAAAGAAATCCTAGGGGAGAGGCAAAAGTGATGCCTGGAATCTCCCATTCCCTCCACTCCTGAGAAGACAGAAACTGCTGTTCTCTGGCTCCTATTTCCACATTGCACATGGTCCTCTGCTCACCCACCTCATGGCTCCTCCAAGGACTGAGCTCACACCAACACCCATCCTGTTCTTTGCCCCAAGTCATCCTCACCTGTTGTAAATCTCTTCTCCTTCTGGTTGTAGAAATTGCAGTAGGAAGAGATCACCACAGGGATAATAGGGACCTGAAAGAGAGAGGGAGCCTACAGTGAATCTACAAATTTCCCCATTCCTCTCCCAAAACAGAACTGTTCTTCTTAGGTGAGTTCTGGACCTTGCTGATAATTATGCCAGTCAGCTTCATAGCAGACACTCAGAGGGCTATGGAGCTATTTAGATCATTTGACTGTATCACCCAATGTCCTTGCTGTTGGTTTTTGCATTTTCATCTCTGTATTTAAAATCGATCCAACAATGGATCGATTGCCAAATCAGCATGTAGAGGTTTGTTCAGTTGAAAATCCCCCCAGGCAGGTCCAAGGCTCTTCCCAAGGCCCCCCCTCTTTTTCCCCAAGCCATCAAGTCATTAAGTTTCCCCACTTGTCCCAGAAGAAGCCCCCTGCAAGCTGTGTGCTCAATCCAGTGGGAAGTCAGGGAGCAGGAGCCACATAGCCCTGGTTGCTGGTGGACCATGGTAGGCAAACGGCACCTCGAGGGGCAGGAGGAAGGTGGGTCTCACCTGGGCTTTCACAGCCAGCTGGAAGGCCCCACGTTTGAAGGGCAGCATGGAGCCACCATGATTGCGAGTTCCTTCAGGGAAGATCAAGACGGAGAACTGCAGGAGGGAGAAGACATTGAGATGGAGGGACCTCCAGTTACTATCCTAAACCACTGCACAGGCATAATCCCCTGGGCTTGATCTGTCTGCTCCTGATCATGCAGAGACATCCTCTTCCTCCACTTCCAGGCACTTTTTGAACACACAACACCCTGAGGCCACCAGAGATGCTCTTACTCTGTTCTGCTCAGTGCCCAGCCCAGAGACAAAGATCCCTTTTCAGCCACATCAAGGCTCATGTTTTCCAGTGGCTCCTCACCAGAGTCCTCCCCACTCACGTTTTCTTTGTGCAGGGAGTCTGCCACCTCTGTCAGGGTGGCGATAGATTCTTCCTTCTTCTTGCGGTCGATGAAGATGAGTCCTGAGAGCCAGCAGGCCAGGCCAAACGTGCCCATGTACAGGATTTCCTTCTTTGCAATGGGCACACAGCGGCTTGGTAATATCTCCATCATCACTGCAAGGGGAGAACAAGGACAGAACAAGTTGTCATCTGCACTGTTTCCTCCAGTTTCTGAGCTACAGCCCTCTGCTCTGGGACATGCCGTGCCTGCCGTGCCCAGCCAGCTCCACAGAATCAGAAACCTCTTGGGAAAAGTGATTCTGGGGATCTCCAGACCAACCACACACTTAGAGAAGGACTACTGCCAGCACTGAGTGAAAGCAGCCATAGAATCATTGAATGCTTTGAGCTGGAAGGGACCTCAGAAGGTCATCTAGTCCAACCCCCTGCAGTAAGCAGGGACATCCCCAACTACATCAGCTTGCTCAGAGCCTCAGAGCCTGACCTGGACACAGCTGTGGTCAGCTGACACTCTCATCCCCGTTCTCTTGGAAAGGATGAAGATGCTTTAGCTTGAAAATACCTGTAATACCCTGGAGAACAACCCTGCCTTGAGGCTAGCTGGTAATGGACTATGCAGCAGCCACTCCTGCCCCTCTGCCTGGGGTCCTTGGGATTTCATACCACCCTCCCCTGCAGAAAACTGGCACTGGGAGCAGGAGGCAGGATCACCACATACCCAAGATGTCAAGGGATGTCTGGTGATTCAACACAAGGACGAAAGGTTTCTTAGTCCTGAGGTTCTCCCTGCCCTTCACCACTATCTCCAGACCAAAGATGTATTTGAGTGGCAGGAACGACATGCGCAAAAACCTGGAAAAGGGGAGGGGACATTAGTCAAAGAGATCCTGAAATGGGGTAAAGGGACCAAGCCCAATCACGAATGCAACATGTCTGCAACAAGCATCCACCCAACTCTGCTATTGCCCAAGCTGTGCAAAGAGAGCTGATTTTGCCTCTGGGTGACATTAGATTGCAATTCTGGTTGCTATATTTGAACAGATACTGGAAAAATACAGAAAAGTATAAAAGTCAGGCACAAAAGTTGAGAATTGAAGAAAATTTCTTAAAGTGAAAGGCTGATGCTCAGTTAGGAGATAGGAACCCCCACCACAGTGTACAACGAGGTGGTAAATTCTGCCTCGGTGGTGCTTTGGGAGGCTACAAGCACTATGCTGCTGTGTAGCAGGGACAGCTTCTAGCCCCCAGTCAGCCCACCCCCAGGTTACTAATGCCCACCACTGCTAGCCACACGTGCACACCCACCCAGCTGCCCGGGTAAATCCAGCAGCTCCTTCCAGAGGCAGTAACAGATGGAGAGAAGGGATGGGGAGCAAAGGGATGGGCTCTGAGACTGCCAGACCTGGACTGTAACTGCAGTGATGGGGACAGCAGTGACAGTGCAGCCACCAGCTCTGCAATGTCTGCTCGTGCCCGTTCAGGTGGGTACCAGCTCAGAATGAAGCTGGGAAAGAGAAGAGCACTTGCAGAAGCTTTCTCAACACAACTTCAAAAGGGAATCAGCCACATGGAAGAGAGAAATACAGCTCTGAAGTCCAGACAGGAGAGGTTTACTAAAAGCAGCAAGTTATTTTACCTGTGCATTACCCAGGTTGTCTAATTTATGTCACCTTTTACGTGCTTTCCTTCCACAATTCATTACTCTATCAGCTCAAATGCAATACTGAAACCCACATCACTTCTTTGAGTTGCAGTGCTTGGCAGCTCTCCACACCAATACAGGACTAATTCCTTAATCCCTCCCCACTGCGACACAACTCCCAGGACCCTCCAAAACAGAGCATGAGTTCACTCTGTCAATGCCCAGAGCAGGAAGATACCACAGACAACTTACTTAAAATTCTCCTTGTTACGTCCACGAGGAATACTGATCATAATAACCAGAATGCTCAGGGTGAAGATCCACAACTTATAGAAGGTCATCTTGCAGAAGTATCTGAATGCAGGCTTCACCTGGTAGAGGACTAGAAACACGAAGAACAGGAAAGTGAAGGGGTAGTGAAGGAGCAAGAGCTCCATCCTTCCAGCCCAGAGCCAGCCAGAGGAGTGTCACACAGGGCAGCAGACGAGTCACGAGCACCCGAAGATGTGGAGCAGAGTTTAGCTTCCCTTGATCAGCTACATGTGGGTGGTGCAAAGCTGGAATAAGACTTGGGAGCGACACTTCAGAAGGCTGAGTTTGCTGCTTGGAAAGCTGGTTTAGCAAGGGCACTCCAGCAGCACTGCGTGGAGGAGCTGGCTGGCAACCAGGGGCAAACATGCACTAGCAAAGTTGCCTATGGGCAGAGGGTGTGGAGCTCTGGGCTTGTGGAGAAATGAGTGCTTTGAAAGACAGCCCCCATCCAGAGGGGCCTTCAGCATAGGAACCCTGAGAACTTTCAAGACAATCTTTAATGGGAGGGAGCAGGATGTGTTGGATGGTACAGACACCAGGCTGCCTCACTCTCTGTGCAGGCACTGAGCTTCACCAGTATGTGAGCTGGCTGCAAGATGGCCAGGGAACCAACAATAAGTATTATGGAGGAGAGAAAGAGAAAAAAACAACCCTCCTACCAAACAGCCCCTGCCCCATACACCTCAGCACTGGAGGGACCGAGCAGAACAACTGGGTGTTCATCAGGTAGAGTGAGAAAAGCAGCCACATGTCTAGACAAAAAGGTAAACAACACAAGAGCAGCTACTCTTGATGTCTTCGTGGCCAGAGGCAGGCACATGCTTAGACAGGATCTACATGCATAAGAAGTGAATTAGGAAAATGCAGGTATAACCTGGGAGCACTCCAACTGCACTTCATCTCCTAAAGTCACTGCATGAAGAAGAGCTTTGCTATAAGTACAATGACTAGGCTCAAAAAGAAAAGCCTCATGATTCATCATCTCCGTGACAGGTCTTGCTCAAGCAGCTGTCACTTAGGAGGAGTAGCAATATAAAATTCCAGCCAGGACTGAAAAAGGGATAGTCCAAATATGCATAAAACCACACTGACTGTTGCCCGCAACCTACAGAGCAAGATCAAATTCATGAGAACAGTAAAACAGACAAGTCTCAGTAAAATTTCATGAAGAAACTGAGGAAAGGGATGATAATAAAGAAAGGCATTGCCTGTGCCCCCTGCTCCCTTGGCTTAGACAGGGACCCTTCTACTTCCTTTTGGAGACAGTTCATAGAGCCTACCCATGGCTGCTTTGTGCTTATCCAAGGTCTGATCCAGCAAACAGTTGACTTCCTAACACCTATTAACCTTCTTAGTAGCTCATCAATATAAATTTTGGCCTTTCACAGGTGGGTGGAGGTTGATTTGATGCATGACTGGTTCATCTTGACCTGCCAGGAGAGACGTTTCTAAAATGTAATGCCAGTGAAAGGCACTTGGAGTGGCTGTCCTGCAAGGACAGGCATGGATTTCAAATCAAACCTGCTGTTGTCAGGGTCCTATTGCAAAAGGAACATCTTACACAATTCTGCACATAAAAACTCACCCAGAATGTCTACTGATAGGGAAATATGCTAAGAGGAAGTCATTGCAAACCACTGAAAAGCTTTATTCTAAGTCACTGACAGTAATTTTCAAACATTTTCAACAAGGCTGTAAGGAAATTATGCTCCTGCAATACAGCACTACCAAACAGCTCCTAAGCTGATGCAAGTTGATGATTTACCCAAAGGAACACAGCAACCCTAAAATACAGCTCATCTACAAGAGCAAAAGATCCTGAACCTAAGGAAAAGACAGGAAAATGTCTCCAGCACATAGGATAGCATCATTTTTGGTCAAGGCAAAGCTTAACCAGAGGACCCACCTAAGGAGAGCGACAGGTGTGAGGACCTGTTAGACCTTGGCATGGTCAGCTGTGAGAGGAGTGGCACCACCATGGCACCACCAAACTGAGGAACCACCAGCACCCAGTGGGCATCGCTGAGATGTTCCATGCAGAAAGGTGACTCCACCCCCTCAGAGCACTGAGCACAGACCCACACTCAAGAAGACATCAGATACACAAGAGTTTGAAGCTAGTCCAATGGTTATTTGGGACTATTCAATGACTGGTAGGTATCTCTGATGAGTATGAGGAAAGACAAGGACATAAAACGATAATAAAAATGATGCCATTCCCAGCTCACTATGGAGACACATTCAGTTCAGATCTAACATTTAGGCTCCAAACCTCCAGATATTAAGCTCCTCAGCTATAATTTGCTTCTGTTGCAAGGCTCCCTAGCACTTAGAGCCAGTATGTTTTCATTTCAAAAGCAGTCAGGTCTTGCCTAACCTGAAAGGTGTTCTCAGAAACTGCAGCTCTAATGAAACTCTCAGTTTCTAGACCAAATGTATCCATGCTCAACTGACTCACTTTTGCCCCTGGCTCTGGTTTCAGAGTTTGGCTCAATTTCAGTGAATCCTAGACAGGGAGAGTAGGGGCTTGCTCCTATCGTCCTGAGCTTTCATCGAGTAGTTTTATTGTCTCTCCTACTCACCAGCTCTGCTAAGCCACACATTGGCTAGAAAAGAGAGGTGGAGGCAGGGAAGGTGATCTAATCTGATGGGAAAAGGCTAAGAAAATAGTCTTGCTCACAGTAAGCAAATGAAGGCTCAGAAGAGAAGGGACTGCTGTCAATAGAGCAACGCACGCAGGAGAGGGAAGAGCTGCTTCAGTTAAAGATCATAATTGACTTCTAAATGTGAAGGCAACGATTTCAGTACAGAATAAGACAACTGGATTCTGAAATGGGAGTGATTCCAACTAGAAACTGCTGGCGTGAAGAACTCCACTGAAACAGACTGGAACAAGCTATCAAAGGGCAAAGTGTTGGGAACGCTCAGTGCCAAGGGCCAGATCAGCCACCCAGCCATCAAAAGAAGAGTACTGAAGGCAATTCATCTAGTGCATGCAGTCACTACTCAGTGAAATAGAGGCATTAACAGTGATGGAAATACTTCAGAGGGATTCCAGGGTAAATATGTTAGAAATAGGTCATCAAAACTGATGAAACTGTAGTTTTGTCTGGAGAAAGCCCAAGGATGGACTCGCCCTCTGGTGCTGCATTGCACCACTACCAGAGGGAATAGTGTTCTTCTTTGCCTAGTGGGAATTTCCCTTGTTGTAACCTGTGTCTGTTAATTCTTATCCTTTCACTGAGTGCCTCTGAGAAGCATCTGGCTTCAGAGCTACTCATTAGGAAGTCAAGGACTGAAGAAAAATCATCCCCTCTTCCCTTCTCCACACAGAAAACCCAAATTCCTCAACCTTTCTTTGCAGAGCATGTGCTCCAGCCCAGTGACTGCCACTTAAGTGAAATGCAGTCATCACTAGAAGATCCTGAGCAAGGTGGACTCAGGCTGGATGCCCACTCTCAAAGCTGAAACAGCTGGGGAAAGCTGCAGGTGGGAAAGAAAGTGACTGAAAAGCCCCAAGAGAGCCTGGAGGGAGAGCTGTGCTTCTGAAGGCAGCAGCAGACTGAACAAGGTACCTGATGCTGTCCCAGCTCCTGCAGGCTGCATTCCCCAGCTTGGTGGTTCCACCAGCTAAGGCAGTCCTATTGCAACACCCCCCATCCTGCTGTACGTGCATGCCATGCTTTGATTAGGCAGGTTGATCAAGCTGATAAGGCAGATTGAATTTTCCAAATTCCAACCGTGTGCTCAGCTAAAATTGGAAAAATAGGTTCTCTGTGCTAAGTGCCCACTGAAAGATCAGGCCTGATTTTGAGCCTCTCACTTCCTCTCCCCTGAGTTAATTCCTGAAGTCAGAAGGTAATGAATGAGACCTTCTCTGTTGCCCAGGGGCTGAGCAGATGTTCAAGGTGCAGGTGTTGGACTTGAAATACTTTCTTCCATTAAAAATACACAGGTTCCTGAATTGACTTTGTCCAGTATTCCCATAAAAGACCTACCACCACCCTCCACTCACCTGTGGTTACTGCATTTTTTACTAGATGCAAAGAATATTTTGGCCTCAGCTCAAAATTGCAATTTATTGGTTGATAACAGTAAGACAGCAGATTACAGAGGAAGCAGAAAGCAGTTTTCATCCCTTTCAGGAAAAGATATTGAGGGAAAAAAAGTTGGAATAAGCATCAGTAAGCTTTTACTTTCTTGTACATTTTGCCAGGACATATCCCATTAACTCCACAGCCCAGGGCTGAATCACTCTGGCTCATGCCAAGCTGCAGGAATAATTTGTCACAGATTTCTGTCACACTAGATGATGCCTGAGGCATTCTGGACTAAGGGCAAAAAATGATGAGAAAACAGCTTTCTTCCATGTGGACAATTTCTTCATTGCATATTCAAGCAAAACCTCAAACAGGGCATTTTAAACAAGTCTATTTGGGGTGCACGACAGCTATTCCTGCCTCACTCATGGGCACTGCGGGATTAGGGGATTTTTTCTGGAAACTGAAGAACTTAATTTTTTTAAAGTAAAAAAAAAAATGGAGAGCAAGACTAAGCAGTCATTCCAATGCCCCATCTCTTACAGTCTGTGTTGGAAACTTTGAAAGGAGAGCCCAGAACATCTGACAGTAAAGCTTACTGAAAGACAGTGTGTGTGGAATTGCCTAAGCCAGCAGCTGGTTTGATTTGGAGCCAGTCTCTGGATAACTCATTTGGCTCTGCTTTGTGATATTGAGTGATTGGCACAGATCTGGACATCTTTTCATGGTGTTCTTTCATCACTGGAGTCCATCTCACTGAAAAGGCTTCATGCAAGCAAAATGAAGCAAATGCCAACAACCAAACTTTTCAGGCAGTGGAAGCATCAGCATGGTAAAAATGAAAAATCCATCTCAACACCTTCCCAAGTCTGGATGTCTGGGGAGTCCTCAGTGTTCAGTACTGAAAGTCATCAGATTCTTCTTCTGCAGGACATAAAAAGCAGTGTGTTAACAAAAGAGAAAAGGCCACACATAGCTCCCTGTCATTTTATGTGACTTATTTCCACGGGTTAAAAAAGGGCCTGATAACTCTGGTATTAGTCCTGATGGCTCTAAAGACCTCCAGGGACCCCTCCTTGCTACAA